TATCGGACAAGGTGAGCCACCCATTATCCCAGTAATCAGTGTGGATGTGTCTGTCTTGTCACACAATGGATGATTCAGGATGTCGATAAACATGGTCGGAACACCATACAGGGCTGTGCATCTGTTTGAAAAAAAAAATCCAATTCATGAGTAACTTATAGAAACAGTTTGTTCTAAACACATCATTTCCAAGAACATATCAAATCTATTGACCGATACAAATTCTGAGAAGACTAAAGAGCTGAATGTTTTGATAACTACTCTACTGGATGATATCTGCACTAAATAAAACATCTCCTGTTCCATTAACATTAAGAATGCATGGTTGATCCATGTTAATACCAGTACAGCATTGCATGAATTATTATAAGACCTTTGCATTACAATCTCTGTCATAATTTTGTAAATATTTAAACTTAAAAGTAAATTTTGAATTTCAAGGTAATTTAGAATTCTGATTTCAAAAATAAAATTCGCAACAGATCCACATATCATTCGTCTGTGTTTTCGTCTTAAAAAATCTTGTTCATATAATGCAAGAGATACCCCAGCAAGTTTCAGCAATAATTAAAAACTCAAAACTGTGTTAAAATTAAATTAGTGAAGTCTTATTTAGAATTTTTTTTTTACATAGTCATCTTAGTTATGACTAACTTCAATGGAATTAAGTAGACTGTAAGTAGACTAACAACTATTTAATGTATTCATATTGTCTAAAGCAGCTTGTAAGTTTTGCGGACTGGTGGATGAGTTAGGAAATTGCACCAAGTGCAATATTTATCAATTATATCTATATATTTTTTAATATAAATATTCATGTTGTGCCGACCTGCACCAAAAGGCTCGCAAAGCCGTGCCGGTCTGCAGACTACCATTTGGGGATGCTGTTCAAGAGGCATTGATTCATTAATGTATTATAAATGAACTGTTGTAAGTTCAATACTTACAAAAAAAAATAATTCTCTATCAAATTACAAATAGGCAATGAAAATTAAATTTTTCAAAAAATATCCTGGTTTAAAATATTCTGTTAATGCTTGATACAAAGAATAAACTATAAATAATGAGCTCTAAATCACCTGTAAGTCTCTAGTGCCCTAAGAACACTTTCTGGATCAAAGACAGGCGAAGGCCACACCACTGTAGCACCATGGGTGATACTTTGCATACATCCCAAAACCATCCCAAAGCAATGATATAATGGAACTGGCACACAAATGATGGAATCCTGGCCAATGAACAACTTGCACTTTAATTAATAATGTCAATGATATAAAGCAGAGCTCCGCAAAATTGCTCCACGGGGTTGAAAAACAAATGAAGACGATAATTATTTGTTAAAACAAAGGGTACAATGATTGGCCTACTAATGTTGGAGGTCAAATAGCACAGACATGACCAAAATGAGACTTTTGGAGGTCCCCTGCCAATTTTCTGTTTTATATATTTAGCTATTCAATGCAACTCAATATACTGACTTTTATTTTGTCCACATCACAACTTATTCACAACTCAGGGCCCCTTAAAAATCTTAGGTCCCCTGCAGCTGCAGGAAATTCAGGACCCATGTGACGGCTCTGAGCACATCTGCATGTTTCAATTCAGGGGATATTATGACAAGTCACTATCCCCGTGTAACTAAGCTGTGAGAAGTATAATATGCCCCTTTCGTTTTGGCCCTTGGCCGCACTCTTTTCACATTAATTATATTTTAGTCTATGATAGCGGTTCTCAACCTGTGGGTCGCTACCCCTTTGGGGGTCACGGGGCCCTTTTCCAGGGGTCACCTAAGGCCATCTGAAAACACATATCCTTACAGCTATGAAGTAGCAACGAAAATAATTGTGTGGCTGGGGGTCGCCACGACACGAGAAACTGTATTAAAGAGTCGCAGCACTAGGAAGGTTGAGAACCACTGGTCTATGACACTTGACTGCTATTATATTTTAGTCTTTGACACTTGACTGCTATAATATTTTAAACACTCGTTTCAATCTTTTGTAATTTTTTTTTTTTTGTGGAAAAAAATGAGTCATCAGAAGAACCAGGCCTTGCCACCAATTTTCGAATACATAATATTCAAAGCAAAACTCTGTTCAAAAAATGGCACAAAAGAGGAGACACGACCTCGTTGTTTCCCTTTAAAATGACATGATATTTTTTGGACATATTTTATTGAATAAATTTATTTAATAATTAACACTTGTTTCAATCTTTACTTGTATAATTTTAAATATTCTCTCAAATATCACGGGTCCACACAATAACCTATAAATTCCAAATAAATTAACTATCCTTGTCTATGGCCATACCACGTTGAAAATACCGGTTCTCGTCCGATCACCGAAGTCAAGCAACGTCGGGCTTGGTTAGTACTTAGATGGGTGACCGCTTGGGAACACCACGTGTTGTAGACATATTTTTGTAATTTTTTTCATTTTTGTTGAAAAAATGAGTCATGAGAAAAACCAGGCCTTGAAGCCAATTTTCGAATAAATGATATTCAAAGCATATTGGCATAAATTTTTTTTTTTGAATTAATTTATTTAATAATTAACACTCGTTTCAATCTTTTGTAAAAAATTTTTTTTTTTTTGGAAAAAATGAGTCATCAGAAGAACCAGGCCTTGCCGCCAATTTTCGAATAAATAATATTCAAAGCAAAACTCTGTTCAAAAAATGGCACAAAAGAGGAGACACGACCTCGTTGTTTCCCTTTAAAATGACATGATATTTTTTGACACATTTTATTGAATAAATTTATTTAATAATTAACACTTGTTTCAATCTTTACTTGTATAATTTTAAATATTCTCTCAAATATCACGGGTCCACACGATAACCTATAAATTCCAAATAAATTAACTATCCTTGTCTACGGCCATACCACGTTGAAATTACCGGTTCTCGTCCGATCATCGAAGTCAAGCAACGTCGGGCTTGGTTAGTACTTAGATGGGTGACCGCTTGGGAACACCACGTGTTGTAGACATATTTTTGTAATTTTTTTTTTTTTAAATTTTATTTTTGTTGAAAAAATGAGTCATCAGAAGAATCAGGCCTTGCCGCCAATTTTCGAAAAAATAATATTCAAAGCAAATTGACATATTTTAAAAAAAAATGTTATTGAATTAATTTATTTAATAATTGACACTCGTTTTAATCTTTTTGTAATTTTCTTTTTTTTTTGAAAAAAAATGAGTCATCAGAAGAACCAGGCCTTGCCACCAATTTTCGAATAAATGATATTCAAAGCAAAATGACATGATATATTTTTTTAAAAAATTTATTGAATTAATTTATTTAATAATTAACACTCGTTTCAATCTTTTGTAAATTTTTTTTTTTTGGAAAAAAATGAGTCATCAGAAGAACCAGGCCTTGCCGCCAATTCTCGAATAAATAATATTCAAAGCAAACTCTGTTCAAAAAATGGCACAAAAGAGGAGACACGACCGCGTTGTTTCCCTTTAAAATGACATGATATTTTATACACATTTTATTGAATAAATTTATTTAATAATTAACACTTGTTTCAATCTTTACTTGTATAATTTTAAATATTCTCTCAAATATCACGGGTCCACACGATAACCTATAAATTCCAAATAAATTAACTATCCTTGTCTACGGCCATACCACGTTGAAAATA